GCTGCTGCAGCTGCTGCTGCTGGCTGCTGCTCGCCTGGAGCTGCTGCTGGGCCTGCTGTGCTGCTGCAGTGATCTCCTCCAGCTGCTGCTGCAGCCGCCTGTTCTCCTGCTGCAGCCGCTGCACTTCTTCGATATGGTGTTGGTGCTGCTGCTGCAGCTGAATAGTCGTTTGCTGTGCTGTTGCTTCTGCAGCGGTAGCAGCAGCAGCAGCGGCGCGGGCCTCAAGGAGCTGCTGCTCCCGCGCCTGCAGCTGCTGCTGCTGCCCTGCGGCAGTCGCCTCCAACTGCAGCAAATAACACAGAAGGAACGAGCAGAGGCTGCCAGAGAACACAACCTTCCTGCAGCAGCGACAACACCAGCAGCAACGGCAGCAGCGGCAGGACCAGCAGCAACAGTAACGTACATGAAGCACTTGCTGCTGGGCACTTTGAAGTCGTTCGGTGAGACGCTGACATTGCTCCTCGTGCTGCTGCTGTTGTTGCTGCTGCTGTTGCTGTTGCTGCAGCAGTATTTGGTGTTGCTGTTCTTCTGCAGCAGCAGCCGCATCCTGTTGCTGTTGCTGCTGTTGCTGGGCAAGCTGCAGCAAGGACGCCTCCCTGTGTTCACAGCAGAAACTCGCAGATGGGCCTGCTGCTGCAGCAACACCAGAAGCTGCAGTTTCCGCAGGTCGCTGCAGGAACTTCGTGTGCACGACAGCAGGCACTTACGCTTCCTGCTGCTGCTGCTGCAGCAGCAGCAGCAGCTGGCGGTTCTCTCGCTGGAGCTCCGCTGCGGTTCCGCGAAACGAGGCACAGTGATGCTGCAGCAGCAGGAGACAGGGACAGCGGCACAACGTACAAGGTGCTGCCGCAGCACCTACTGCTATTTTGAAGCGCACGAGCTGCAGCTACTGCAGCAAGACGGACACAAGGCAGCAGCAGCAGCAGCAGAGGCTGGGGCAGCGCGCGCTTGGTACCTGGAAGTACTGCAGGTGGGCGGTGAGGTGTCTGTACACCTCAGCAGTCGTGCCTGCCCGCAAGTCGAAATAAAGATGAACAATTTCTCTAAAGGCATTTGTTTCTATAAGCCTTAGCACCGCCGTGGGGGGCCTTCCTGCTGCTGCTGTTGCTGCTGCTGCTGTTGCTGCCGCCGCTCGCCGTGCGTCGGCGGCTACAGAGACACCTTCCCGAGGAGGCAGCGCTGGTGCTGCAGCAGCAGCAGCAGAGGCGCCGGCAATCCCAGTAACAGCTGTAGCAGCAGCTTGCGCAGCAGCAGCCTCTGGAGACAGAACAAGCACCGCAACAAGCCTGCAGCAGCAGCAGGCGCAGCGGAGGCTGCTGCAATGCAGTGTCTAAACTAAATCTGCACCGCACACCAGCAGCAGCAGCAGCAGCAGCAGCAAGGTACCTTGGCTGTGCCGGCTCTCCTGCAGCCTCTGCAATGCATTCCTTCACCAAATCCAACACCTGAGGCGCAGCCAAAGAGGGAGTTTACGGGTGAGTATCTCGCGGCCAGCTCAAGCTCTTAGGGTTTAGGGTTTAGGGTTTGGGGTTCGTCGGCTGCGACAACGGCTTGGGCTTGGGGTTTGCGCACTCTGAATCCAAAGGCTTTGAAATCCACTCGAAGCTGCTGCTGCTGCTGCAGCGCAGCAAAACTCGTGCTGGAGATGCAGCAGCCAAACAAGAAGGGCGGACACTCGGGGTCACTCAGCTCTACGCGTAGACCCTGCAGCAGCAGCAACAGCAGCGGCAGCACGGGATGACAAACGCAGCACAAACAGCAGCACCTGCAGCAGCAAGGAGCCTCTGGAGCTTTCCCTGCGCTTTCCGCGTGGCAGCAGTAGAAGCAGCAGCAACAGCAATGCCAGCAGCAGCAAGCTTGCCTCGTTGTCTCTGTAGAGCCTGAAGCAAAGGCTCTTGGCGTATCCGACGCTGCTGCTGCTGCTGTTGCTGTTGCTACTGCACTCCTGCTGCGTGGCGATGCGGACTTTAAGGCGCGAGCTGTACATACAGACCGACCCTGACCCCGTTGCCTCAGCAGCAGCAGCAGCAGCAGCACACCAGCAGCCCTCCACGCCGCAAGGTCCTAAGTCCCTAAGCTCTCCACTGCAGCAGCAGCAGCTGCTGCTCAGCTGCTGCGTGCTGCTGCTCAGCCACCCTCTTGTAGCTGCTGTGTGATCCGCTGCTGCTGGTCCTGCTGCTGCTGCCGCTGCTGCTGCATTTGCTGCTGTAGCTGGAGCAGCAACAGCGGCTGTTTCGGGTGAGGCGCTTAGGTGCCACGTGGGGTCCATGCAGGGGCATGCAGAGCTCTCGCCGCAGCTGCAAGCTGCTGCTGCTGCTGCGGCTGCTGCTGCTGCTGCGGTAGAGCTGCGGCTACCCACAGACAGCAGCGCACCTCCTCTGCTGCATCCCGCTAAGGACAAAGTAGCCACTTGTCTCTGCGGATGCACACATCTGTGCTGCCTGTCCTGCTGCTGCTGCTGCAGAGAACGCGGATGGTGCTGCTGGTGCTGAGATAGCTGCTGCTGCTGCAGTTGAAGCTGCTGCAGTGCGACCTGCTGCCGCAGCCGCTCTAGCTCCTCGTGGATATTCTGGTCGTGCTCTTGCTGTTGCACCTGCTGCTGCTGCTGCTGCAGCTGGTGCTGCTGCTGGTTGTAGTGCAGCAGGTGCAGCTGCTGGTGATGCTGATGTAGCTGCAGCTGCTGCTGCTGCTGCTCCGTGCTGCCGGCCTGGTGCCATTGCAGCGGCAGCTGCGGGGAAAGGGATCTATGCTGCTGCTGCTCGTGTTGCTGACGCTGCTGCAGCTCGTAGAGCGAGTTCGGCTGCAGCAAAGGGCTGCGCAACTGTTGCTGCTGCACCTGCTGCGAAGCGTACACACGATCAGCAGCAGCAGCAGCTGCTGCAGCAGTTACTGGTGCTGCTCGCACTGCAGGGCGTGCAGGGGCAGCTCCGGCCTCCATCTGGTGCAGCAACACGCAGCAGCATCTGCTGCCGTGGGCGTGGCTGCTGCTGCTGCTGCTGCTGTTGCTGCGCTGCTGGTGCCGCCGGTGGTGCTGGTGCTGCTGCTATTTCTCGAGGGAACGATCGGGTGCAGCAACAGACAACACAGCAGAACCTGCTGCTGTTTTGGGGGTTTCTGCTACAGAGGTTCTCCCGGGCTGCTGGCGAGCTGCCACTGCAGCCGAAATGCTACTGCGGCCCCTGATGTTGCTGCTGCTGCTGCAGTGTGACTCGGCGCAGTTCGACGCCTTCCAGTAGGTCATTTATGCTGCTAAAAAAGTAACTTTGCGGATGCTGGTGCGGCTGCCGTTCTCGCCAGTGCTGCAGCTCGACTCCCACCAGGATCACCACCTCCACCACCCCGCCAGGGGCAGCCCCGAGGCAGCAGCAACAGGGCAGCAGCTGCTGCGCTGTTCCGTGCATATGCGTTGGAATACAATATTTCTTTACACTTCCCGTTAACTTGTGCTGACGGCGCCTGGATTTACGCGTAGAGGTGCAAGCAGCGACGGCGACAGCAAGAACACAGGCAGCAGCCGCAGCGGCGGGATGTCCTGCTGCTGCAGCAGGCGACACTAGCTGCTGCGTGTAGCCTGCTGATCCCTGAATTGAGTCTTGCTGCTGCTGCTGCTGCGGGATGTGCCCACTGAGCCACTTCCAGGAGGGTTTTGGCCCCTCCGGAGCAGCAGCTGCAGGAGCAGCAGGAACAACAACAGCAGCAACAGCAGTAACCGCCGATGCGGCACCTCCTGAAGCGGCCATGGCAGCAGCACCAGCGGGCGAAGCTGCCCAAGACGTTGCAGCAGAGTTATTGAAGACGCTGTACACTAGCCTTCTCGGCACTGCAGACGAGCTCTGCACCACTAGCAGCAGTGGCAGCAGTGGCAGCAGCAGCAGCAGCAACGCCGAAATGTGCCGTGCAGGACTGCAGCACATCGCAGCCACGGCAGCCACACTTGCGGCAGGAATGCTGCCGCAGGAGCTGCATGAAGCCCTCCAGCAAGTTGCTGCACTGTCGTCACAGGAACTAGCAGACTGCAGCAACAACTGTGCAGCGGAGGAGGCACAGCTGCAGCAGCAGCAGCAGCCTGCTGCCCCCCGCGTCGCCGTCCCTTTCCTTTCTGTCGAGGGCCGCGACATCTGTGTGCACTTCCCAGGAGAGCCAGCAGCAGCATCAGCAGCAGCTACCGCGGCAGCGGCAGCAACTGCAGCCACAGCCACCGCAGCAGCAGTGGCAGGACATGCTGCAGATCAGCCAGAAGCTTTGAGTGCCTGCGGAGGGTCAGACGCTGCGCTTCAACAGCCACAGGGGCCTCCACAGCAGCAGCAGCAGCAAGACTCGCAGCAGCAGCAACAGCAGCAGCTGCAGCTGCTGGACGAGCAGGAGCTGCGGCTGCTGTGTGCTTCTGTTGCTGTGCTTCACGATGCTGCAGTAGAGAAGCTGAAGGACTTCTGGAAGAGCGCCCCTGATTTGCTGGAGAAGGTGCAGCGGGCTGATGCTGCTGCTGCTGCTGCTGAAAGCAGCAGCAACGGCCAGCAGCAGCAGCCCACTGATCTGCTGCTGACCTTTAGTAGGGAAGGCCCTGCTGCTGCTGCACTACAGGAGCTTGAGCAGCTTGCAGGAGGGCGAGACAATATGCTGCTGCTGCTGGGCCTAAAGCGCTCAGCAGCAGCAGCAGCAGCAGCAGCAGCAACAGAAACCGATGGCAGCACAAATGCGTCTGTGTTACTTGCGGAGAGCGAAGACACCCAAGCAGCAGCAGCGTCAGCAGCAGCAGCAGCAGTGACTCCAGCAGCAGCAGCAGAAGCTGGACGGAACCCTGCAGCAGCAGCCGCCCCCCGCGTGGTCTCCCTTGCAGACATCAAAGATGTTTCACTGCTACATGGCATGCAGCAGCAGCAGCAGCGGGGAAGCTGCGCTGCGACGGTTTCTGTGGTGTCCGTGGGTTCGAGCATCAGCTGCTCTCCAAGAGCAGCAGCGGAGGGCAGCCCTGCAGCCGCAGCAGCAGCACCTGCTGCAGCAGCAGCGGCCACTTTGCCGGCAGCTGCCCCGGAAGCGGCGGCAGCAGCAGCAGGGAGAGGGGAACTGACGGGGCTGCAGCAAGTGGCGCTGCAGCTGCAGCAGCTGCATGCAGCAGTTCAAGAAGAAACACGCAAGCTGCAGGAATTAGCTTCCTTCTACGACCTTTTTGCTGCTCAGTCTCTGGGCATCGCAGATGGCACACTTTAGCTGCTGCAGCATTTGCAGCGCGCGCTGCGGGAGCAGCAGCAGCTGCTGCCGTTCGTGCTGCTGCAGCAGGCGCAGACAAGGCTATCGCAGCTGCCGCTGCTCCCGCAGCTGCAGGACCTGCAGCGGCCGCTGCTCCGAGTTCTGCTGCTGCAGCTACTGGCAGCAGCAGCTGAAGCTGGATGCTTTTTGCTGTTTCAAAGCAAACTCGCTGCCTCCAGGAGCTAGCCAGCTCCCCAGCCCAGCACTTTGCCTGCTATGTGGCTAGCTAGCCATTTATCTAGCCAACTCAGCTCTAGCTAGCTAGCCAGTGCGGGTTCAATTGCCCCGAGTAGGGCAACAGGGTAGAACTGCAACAAAGTGTCACCTGGCTAGCCAAGCACGAGTGCAGCTAGCCACCTCAACATCAAATTACAAAGCTAGCTAGCTAGCTAACTAGCTAGCTAGTCCACGGCTGCCGGTGCAGATCGCCAAATAAAACAGACGCTGCCGCAGCATCTGCTGCTGCTGCAGTTGCTTTCTATTGCTGCTGCTGCAGCACACTCTCCCGAAGCAGCAGTCGACGTTGCTGCAGTTGCTTGCAGCATCAGTTGCTGATATACTTGTGTTGCGCTGGCATGCCAGCAGTTGCTTCTGCTGCGGACCCTTCAGCAGGGTTTGCTGCTGCTAGCGCTGCAGCAGCTACTGCTGTTGCTGCTGCAGCTGAGCCGCCTGCTGAAGCGGTAGGGGCTTGAGAGGCCCCTCTCTAAATGCTGCTGCCTTTCTGCAAGCAGCAGCGATTGCCCAGGGTCCAAATATATCGAGGAGAATGAGCAGCTGCAGCTGCAGCTGCAGGCGCGTGTCAGTGAAGAGAACAAGCTCTAGCGCTTGGTTGAGGAAGGGCAGCAGCTGCAGCAGCAGCAGCAGCAGCACCAAGAATCCCCCCAGAAGCATGCGCCACAAGCGCCGGTTCTGGCGCAGCGGCTGCGACCAGGGGGCCCCCTCGTAATTCGCTAGGAAAGTTGAGAGGTGCATGCACAGAGATAAGTAGAAAACTGCAGTGTTGACTTCATCGGGCTTAAACAGGTTCTCATCCTCGCTGCTGCTGCTGCTGCTGCTAGTGCCGCCGCTGCTGCTGCTGCTGCTGTCTCGCAGCGCCCGAGCCAAGACCCACGCCCTAGCGAGGCACCACACGTGGAGGGCACCTTGCCCCACAAGGGACAAAATGCCCCAAAATGAAAAGACTGAAGTTGGCGGGGGTTTATTCCCCATGAATCCCTTTATCTGCTGCTGCTGCTGCTGCTGCTGCGCGTTTTCTTCTGGGGAAGCGCTGAGACACAGCGTGAGCGTCGTGGAAAGGCAGCTTTCTATGGCTGCCTGCAGGTCGCTGTAGCGAACTCCGTCAGTAGACAAAACAGACAAAGAAAATGCAGTGACAGTGCAGTTTAGAGCAATGAGGCGGTGCATCAGCAGCAAAGAAGAGAGGCAGCAGCGGCCCTCAGACACCACGCGCGACACTACGCCAATGCCGCTGTCCCGGCAGGTGAAAGCAGCAGCAACGGAGGCGGAGCCCAGGGGCACCAGCGTGCTTTCCCCGGCCAGGCCCTCCAGCGTGCGCTCCAGCAGCTGCTGCCGCTGCTGCTGCGGCGACAGCTGCTGCTGCTGCCGCTGAGTCGCAGCAAAACCTGCTGCGCCTGCCCGCCCAGCCCCGGCAGCGTCAGCGCCAGGGCCTGCAGCAGCAGCAGCTGCTGCTGCTGCCGAGACCGCAGCACAAGGCGCGCTGGAGAGAACCGACACCCCCACTGCTGCTGTTTTCAATGCCCCAATGTCGTTGGCCCCGTCGCCACACATGAGCACAGGAAATCCCTCAGCAGCAAATGCATGCACGACCTGCTGTTTCTCTCGGGGAGAAAGACGAGCGAAAACGCGCACGTATCGCACTAGCTGCCGCAGCAGCTCCTGCTGCGACGCATCCTGCTCCTGCTGCTCCTGCTGCTGCTGCTGCTGTTGCAGCGTCAGCTCTTCGCGGCAGCCCAAACGTGCTTCCTGCTCCTCCGCCGTTTCCAGCACTGCCGGCCGCCGCAACTGCTGCTGCCGCTGTTGCAGCTGCCGCAGCTGCTGCAGTACAGTGCCACACACGCAAAATGAATAGTGCCGGGAAGGCTCGGCAGTTAAGGCTGCAGCAAACGGCAGCCGCACGTTGCTGTCTGAGGAGACCCACTGCAGCACGCGGTTAACCCTGCGTTCCAACACGCTGCTGCTGCTGCTGCTGCTGCCTGAGCTGCAGAAGGAGTCGTTTGCTGCCGCCTCTTCTGCTGCTGCTGCTCTTCGAGCCCTGGGCTGCATTTGCTGCGAGCTGCCGTGGGACGTTTCGATGGTCTCTTCGGCCTCTGAGAGGCTGAGAAACAAAGGGAGCAGCTTGCCCGTAGCCTCCTTGCTGCTGCTGCTGCTGTTGTTGCTGCTGCAGCCGCAGCAGCTTGGGACCCCGCAGGTGCTGGGGTGGTGTATGATGCCAACATCAGCCGCAACAGCAGCAGCTGTCAGCGCGTGGTCTCCAGTGAGCATAACCACCTGCTGCCCCGAGCAGCGCAGCAGCTGCAGTTGCTGCTGCACTCCTGGCTTAATTGCAGCAGCAAAAGCCAGAAACCCACAAAACAGCAAATCTCGCTCCAGGGCCTCACGAGGAGAGGACTGAGGGTTCGTCGTGCACATGCGAGCTGCCACAGCCAACACGCGCAGCCCCTGCAAGAGAAGCAGCACAGCAACAACAGCAGCTTTGCCTGTTCCTGCCAACAGCTGCGGCGGCAACAGCTGCAGCAGCAACTGATGCAGCAAGAACAACTGCACCGGCAACAGCTGCAACAACAACTGCGGCAGCTTTGGCAGAAGCAGCAGCCACTGCCAACAGCAGAAACAGAAATGGTAACACAAGCAAAAGCAAATGTTAAAGCAGCAGCAAGAGCAGCAGCGGGACCCGCAGCAGCACCAGCGGAATCTGCAGCAACAGCAAGCCACACCCTTCCAGTCAGCTCATCTGCAACAGAGTCATAAAAAGGCGGCACTTTCCCCAAAAACTGTTTTATCCGTTCTGGGGCCCCTTTAACAGCAACAATGAACCCTTTGGGCTTCTGCTGCAGCAGCTCGCGCAGCTCTTGCTGCCCTTGCTGCTGCTGCTGCTGCTGCTGCTGGTGCAACGGCCCACGCCACACGTCATCAGTCGTTCTATATTCTGCCACAGAAGTCGTCCGCTGGAGAGTAGAAGTGAAGGGGAAGCACAGCAGAAGAGACACCCGAG